ATGTTGTTTTTCAGTGAGGCTTAAAAATGCTCTCAAAACAATCTATGCCACATGTGATGATTCTCTTATATTCAAGTTTTATTTATATTTCTTCAGCTTCTTCAGATGATAGTATTGTGTGCCTTGTTAATTCTTCTAACAATCACTGCTTTGCCAAACTCGATCAAGTCGCTCAAAAATTGTTTCTCATTCACTGTGGATAAACAGTCAATCTCATGGCCTACGAAACACCCTTCAAACAACCGAATAACTGTGATTCTATGGGTTTTGTGGTCCATCATAAATATTTCCATAAACCCTTTTGATTCTTATGATTAAATTGTAATAATTATTTGATACAAATAAGAGCATTGCTTTCATTATTGTTCTTTCCTCCATCTCAGCATGCTGTGTTACTGTCTGATGATCACTGGAATGCATTACTCAGTCACTTTGTAAACAAAGGGATGCACTTGAGATCCCAAATCTCTCTAACTTCCACCCTACTTTTAAAATACCTCCTAACTTTAATGTGTGTAAACTTGATGTTATATTGCTACTATAGCACTTCATTTTCTTGGTTATATTACCCTATTAATTCACATATAATAAACAAATATAATAGCAAATATAAAAAAACAAACGTAATAAACAATAATATACCAATAAAATAATCATACACGTTTAAATAAAATTACATATTTGTGTATATTTACATGCAGGTATTTGCACAGCTGTTGCATTCAGATTGATGTGGTTCTGGCTAAATTTAAACATGATAATTACCCAGCTGACTACCTGCAGGACAAATGTGTACAATTCTAGGAACTATAACTCACAGACAGTAATCATGTAGCTATATAATAAAATCATTAATACGATCTTGTTAAACAGTTTTTATACTACACTTTATCACTGCCATATAACATAAGATGTGAAACTTGTTGTACCATAACCATCTCACTATAGATGTAAGTAAGCTGGACTGCTGAAATATCAATACAATTTACCTCGTTCACCCATTCACGCTCACTCATAGAAGCACTTTTTGCTTTTCCAGTTTCCAACAGTTGTGATCATAATATAAAATAAATGTAGACTAATCTTTTTATAATGAGAGTTTACAGTACATGCTGTTTCGCTCTCTTCTCTGAAAATTAAAAGGAAAGAAGACAATAACAGACAATAACAAACAAAGAGAAAAACAAGACAAGAAAAAAGTCAATAAATGATTTCAGCAACTACAAAACCTGCTGGTTTCAGGAGCAGTTGCCATAATAATATAAAGTAATCATACACTTATCTTTTTCTAATGAGTTTACAGCATTTGCTATTTCGTCCCTCGTCTCTTCACTGAAAGTTAAATAAAGATAATAACAAAAAATTAAATAAATAAGAAGAGTTACTGATCAGAGTTCTGATACAGTCATAGAATAAATATGTGTCTACTTATCTTTTAAAATCGGTCATTGTTCTTGTTTTCTCCATTCTCTCTGAAAGGCGGACAGCAGATGAAGAAAGGTAAGTTAAACAGCAATGCAGACAGAAAAAGTACCTCTCAGGATATCTCATAATGTGTGCATTTCTACTGGACACCTGTCCCATTGCTTCTCATAAGAATCGAATATCTTTGCCACCAAGCAACAGTGAATCATACCAACAAAAATCAGAGGCATCAGAGTAAAAAATAAATAAATAAAAATCACAGTCAATAATAATTTGGGACATAAAATCTTCAAAACTAAAATAATACTGTCATTTGATGACTTCCTAATTAAAATACACAGCAGGGGGAATAAAGGCTCTGTATGCCTCCTTTTAAGCCAGTGAGTCTTACTTTACCTGTTTTTTTTTATCTAACTTCATTTTTACTTTTCTTTCTTTTCATCACTGTTCATCACTGTTCTCTTACACCAGTCAAAAGGTAACTACTTCATAAAACTCATTGAGAAAAGGCAAAAGGTTTGCAGTGCTGTCAACAAAGCAACAAGTGGTTACTTTGAGGAATCTATAAGACATAATTGGAGTTATTTATCAATCTTTTCTTTGCTACATAATTTAATATGTGTCCATTTTGAGGCCTTCAGTGAGAATCTACAATGT